ACATTGGCCCATAGCATAAGCCCAAACCTGCACAAAAATGTCAAAAACTAAAAAAATGGAAAAAATACAAAGACAAAAAGTAGCGCGCAGGTTCGAACCCAGGACATGGGTCTCACCAGCGCGCTGCTTTACCACTGGGGTGGCCATACATCCATTGTCTTTACTGAAACAAAAACAACATATTCCAAAACGCTTCCTTGCCCTATTTCATCTTCTTCCTCAAGCCTTGGCCGGATCATCTGTAACTTCCTCAAACTTCCATGAAAATAAAAACTTATAACATGAAAAATGTAGAGCTTGAACTCACGATTCCAACCATGTAAACTATGTAATCTAACTATCAAATATTAAAGAGAATTTAAACAGCCCTAAATCTTGACCTAATATTTCCAGAAATTTCAACTTCCAAATTCTCTTAGCACAAGTAAAATCAATGCAAAGTAATGATATGTATAGCTTTGTTATGATGAGAACTACATTTTTTATTCACAGATCGTGGCCTGAGATTGCCTGTACAAAGAGATAGAGTTTAAAAAATTACCTCCTTCATCTGGAATCGTGTATGGAAATGTAGGGACTTTAATGGAGGCCTGATGATTGCTTGAGCTTCCTTGAGCTTCCCTGAATCTATTCCAACTCTTACCTTGCTCTGAAAGTGGCTAGAACTCCCTGACCAAGTCCAACTGCAAGCTTCAAATTAACAATGGCAGATGGTGAAACAGAGGTTACAGAACAGGGATGATGGCTTGGATGAGTTTTATATCAAGTATGTAAGATGTTGGAAGGGTCTAAACACAAAACGCACGAGTCAAATGGATGTTGGATGTGTATATGCAGAAACTGTATGTTTGGGCAGTTTTTTGGTGTTTTTCAGTTGGAGAGAGTTTCAGGTCCTTTCCAAGCGTGTTATGGGTTGCACATTGTTTGCATATTAGTATATAAATGATCTCAAGTCAGCTTCTCAACAGATGTTCAAGCCCTATCTTTTTTGCAACTTTTCTTGTACTTGAAGCAAAAGTGACAAGACCAAACCCACATGCTTGTACCAGCTTGCTTTAGGGTTGGTATAAGTTTGTACAAGTTGCTTGAGACCTGTGTGGCTTGTATGCATTAAGGGGATAGGTTCAAAGCTCCAAGTTGACAAGTTTGCAAAAGTGCTTCTTTATGAAAATGGCAATGAAGCCTTTTTGCCCAAAATGGAATTACAAGTTGTATAAAAGTTCAAAAGCATGGATAGAGGCTTTATCAACTGTGTAAGCATTTAATTAAAGAGTGGGTAGCAAGTTTAGGACCTGTAAAGTATGAAATAGCCATCATAGGTTTGATTTGCAACTTGGTTCTTCATGAAAATGGCTTGAACAAAAGTGAGAAAATGCCAACTTCCTCTCTTCGATTCTCTTTACTAAAAAATGATCTTGGAGAGTTCCTTGACATTTTGGAAAGCTTGAAATGTGATATATAATCCATCTTTGAAATTAATTTTGATATACCTCTTGGAACTAGGTGAAAACTTGCCATGAAGTTGGGTCCAAAACCTGCCTAAATTAGGGGAAATTTTCACTAAGTTAAGAAGTTCATGACCATGTATTCACAAATTTATTACTTGAGATCCAAGCATCTTTAGGGAAAAGTTTGTGAAGAAAAGTTGTAGATTTCATGGAGGTCTACAACTTTCATGTTGGGGACTTTCCTTGAATCAAAATGCATCATGGTGAAAAAGTGGTGTAAAGTTGAGAAAAAAATAAGAAAATTTGTATACTTAAAAAAATTCTAAGTTATGAAAATTTTCAAATTCAAACCCTAATTTTCAAATTTGGTTTTCTTGGTTAACAAGTTTCATATTTTTACATATCTTGATGAATTATGACCCTTGGTACTTGATTTTGACCAAAAAGTCAAAGTTTGACTTTTTAGTGTACAATTGACTTTTGATCAGTTAACTGGAAATTCCATCTGTCAATCCAATGAACTTGAGATGTTTTGAACCATGTAATTGAGTCAAGATGATGCCATTTAATCCTTGAAACAATTCTTGAACTCAATTGGTCATTGGCTAGGTTAAAAGTCAGAAATTTCCCTTTCTCAATCAAAATCCTAATTTTGACCATTTTGCCCTTTTGATGATTTGATCAAATTTCTTGAGGAGTTGTGATCCAAACTTGATCAAATAGTACATATGAGTCTAAAATGTTGACGTGGATCAAAAATTATGAAGTTTTACTGTGAATTGGCCATGCTTGACTTTTCCCCAATACAGCTGATTTTTAGGTCAACTGTCCAATTGACTGATCAAAAATGTGGTTCAAGGCTTGAAACTTATCATGAACAAACTTTGGGGTCCAAAATGATGTATGAAAGTCAAATTAAGCATTGGTGGTCCAAAAATCCATGTGCAAACTCAAACCCTAATTTTAGGTTATCAGTGCAAGATGAGATGTCTTGAGCTGACCAAACCCTAATCTTGTCTTGAGTCAAAGAAGTCTTGTGAGAAAAGGCTTAATAAATGAGAGGGCAAATTTTGGGGTATAACATATAGGTTCAAGGACAACACCCTATATTTTCTCTGTGTCATATCTAAAAAGATGAAAGTTGATTGCCCGATATGTATGGACGAGGTCTCTAATCATTGGAAGAGACTTAGTTTTGAAGATGACGGTAAAATAAAAGATGATAAATCAAGTATCTCCATCTTGAATAAATGGGAAGCGATACAAGAAATATTTTTGAAAGTCGATGAAGCCACCAAACTCCACATCAAAGATTAATTGAGGAAGATTGCATTCCCGGAGACCACAGACTTGAAGCCATCCTCTCAACTGATAAAAACTAAAGGGACACCTAAGAAGGTGAAGCCAACACTAGGAAACAATTCAACAAAGACCTTCATATTTTGAACACCTTGACAAAGTTTTTCCTGATTCACCTACTCTGAAATCTCATAAGTGTTTTCAAAGGAGCCCGTATTAGCAAACCACCACCTACATCGACTCCACCAAAAATACCATTCATCGAGGAGATGCCAGTTTTTATGCACAAGTATATTGAACAGATCGTTAATGTCAGGGGTGAAGGTAACTGTGGTTTTCGAGTTGTTTTGGGTTTGCTCGGTAAAGGGAAAAAATGATTACCATATTGTCCGAGATACTCTTATTGGAGAGAAATAAAGAATTATACACACGGGTGCTCGAGACTAAAGAGAAAGTTGAAGACATATATAACGCTCTTGTACCTAGCGTCGGTATGCACCCGAGCATAAATGGATGCGCTTCCCTGAAATGGGTCATCTTATAGCAAGTGTGTGTGAGAGAGTGTGTATTAGTCTTACAAGATATAGTTTCTCTAAAACTTTTTTCCCACTGCGCACTGCTCAACCACCAAATCCCAATGACTGTATCATCTGTGTTGAGTGGGTATCAAATATGCGATATTTTGTTCAAGTATATTTGATATCGGGTTCCCAATACCACTTACATCACCAGAGTGGGAAAATCATTACACAATCCCTTTTGATACCTGGTCGGACATATTTATTGAAAGGATGCAAGACTACAACAAGTTGAACAAAATTGAAATAGAAAAAATAAGGCAAAGTCAAAAGGGGTAGCCCCTGTGGATTTGGGCGGGACAATTATTTCAGATTATTTAAGTAGTTAGGTATCATTTTATTGTATATGTCATTTTGTCAATGTATTATGTTGTGGAATATAGCCATTTTATAGTTTGAGCAAAAATATCATCTTTCCATACATGAGGTTTTTGTTTTTGTTTCTATGTATGCTTTTGTTTCTGTTCTGGTTTTTAGTCCCAGGGGATTTACCAAAGATATATTTTCGGTACATATTTAGGTGGAACCGGAAATGAAATTCCGGTTTACACTCTGTCACATGATAGGATTTGTAAGGTCCATGTTTGCCTTCAACTACTATAAATAAGTTCACTTGGCATATTGTTTCATACCAAAACACCAAAAACCAGAATGAACATCAAATGACATGTTGAAAATTTCCACTTTACCGGTAATTCACCATTCCGAGAATTTAAGTTCACCGAGTACACCCCTCTTGAAGATCTGCAATACATATTGCAAGACCTACTACCTTATGTCGACAATCACAAAGTTGTGAAGATCGAGTACCACTTGACATCCGTTGACAAAGATGGGAAGCTTGAGTTTATCAACTATGAGCTGAAGAACGACACTGATATACGGACTATATGAAATACTTTTATCTGTTTTAAAGCGAAAGTTCCGATCGAGCTAGATGCGACTATTTCGAGATCGATAGATGATATTATCATGATGTTATAACATCCATGTGGATGTTGAAATATAATATTGATGTATGTTTCAATCCTTAATGTATTACATATGTTATGATATGAATTATATTTTGAATTTATAAAATTGATATTATTCAATGTTATTGTTCTGCTTTCTATACAACACAAAATTGAAAATGTAAATCCGAATATAAATTAGAAATTAAATTCCAATTTCTAACATATATTTTATTAAATTTTAATGAGTTCTGAAAATATATTTCTAATTTTTAGAAACATTTTGATAATTTTGCGTGGAATGTTAAAAAACTATAAGGGAAAAAGAATATCATCAGAAACAAATTCTAAATGTGTAGAATGTGCAACCCCCTTAATCATCTTTTCAAATGGCCCAATAGCGGGCCGCTTCGTGGCAGCAAAAAACAAATAAATAAAAAATTACACATGAATATACACGGTTCCTCATAGAGAGGAAGCATCGTATCATTTTTCCTTCTTTTTACGGCTCTCTCTCTTGCTCACAGTGCCATGTTCCCTTCCCCAACTCACAAACACAAATCAATCACACAAAATAAACAACAACATCTATAATAAAACATGAATCAAGGCCACGAGTTAAGACAAAGGGACAAAAGGCCAACCGGAGGTCTGAGGAAATTAACGGTGTGGTTGCTTTTGACAGTGGTGCGGCGCGGCGTGCGAACGAAGCGCATCTGTTGATGGTGGTGTGCGTGGATGAGTCGGCGGCTCGAACGGAGGGGCTTCGAAGGTATCGAACTCAGAGGAATCGTGCGATGAAGTCTCGGTTGTTTTCTCTGTATTTTTTTCGATTCTTTTTTCTCTTGTTGGCTTTTGATTTTCGCGGACGCTTGTTCACTGATGGAGGCTTATGCTCAAACCAAAGGGAGTTTCAAGGTGAAACTCTCAGTTGCTTCTTGTTTGGAAGAGCTTTTTGTGAAGGGTTAGGGAAACAGTAATTCTTCTGGTTCAGTTTTTCGGTGCTCTCATCTGTCAACTCGTCTTGCTTTTATAGTTTTAGAAATTAGGTCTCAGAGGTTAATTCTTGATTTAATCATGTTTGTGTGTTATTTTGAGAAAAGATTGAGATTTGTGATGAAGAATTTGAACTGAAGTTTTGGATTTGATTTCAATTTTAAGGTCTGATTGATTCATTCTTGTGTTGATTGAGAAATATGCAATTTTGGTTTGAAGTCCACAAATTAGTAATGAATGTAAAATGAGATTTGATGAAGATCATTATTTTCCTGAAGATTTGGGTCTGATAGGTTGAAGATTGAGATTTTTTATTTGTGAAGTTTTGATGAAAAAAATATTTGATCCAGTATACAATTGATTTAGTGGTACTCGTGACTTTTGGTAACGCAACAAAATTCCTTTAGATTTTATAAATTTATTATTTTTCTTGGAATAATAATAAAATAAAACTATCTAAAAGAATGAGATTTTCTACTCAAAATAAAAATTAAAACTGACTAAACTTTAATGATATAAAAGAATGAGATTCTATCCTAAAAATAAAAAATACCAAGAATTAATGTTAGACCCTGGACTGGACCCACGTTTATTTATCGTCGGACAAAGTCCAATCTAATGTCACTAAAGGTCCAATAATCTGTTGGGGCTCAAACCTGTGTTTGGTCCTCAGTCGGATATGCCCATTATCACCGTTGGAGAACATCTCCCACGCATGTTCGACGAGGATCTGTTCCTCAATACGTGCACGTTGGAAACATCTCTTGAGTATATCTGTCGTGGACCTGCTCCTCAACACGTGCACCACTCGGGGACTTGCTCCTTAGTACGGGCACGCACGCCAACGTCATACAACCAACGTTTCTCTGACTATCACAGAGTCATCTTGCTCCCGAAAAGAACGGGTCTTCATCAGATTTTTATCAACTAAAGCTCATTTTGAAGGAAATTAAATTCTCTACAACTTTGACTCTCTAAGCTTAAGTTCAAAAAATGCTTCATTTGAGAGATATGGGCCAAAACATTATAGGTCATTTCAAAAGTCAACAAAAAGACACTTTTTGTCAAGGCAACTTACATCAAGATAAAGTCTTCAAATGCAAAAATGATTAAAATAGAGATTGTAGAGGATATCTTGAGATTTCCAAAAAGTCAAAGATCACCTTCAAATAATAAAAATTGAGGGAGTTATGATTGATACAAGTTGGGAAATTCTGAGCAAATGCATGAAACCTAAAGTGACCAAACTTGAACTTTTGGGCTAATGGGCTACTGTTTCAAGGTCCATGCGTGTTATATACTTCATACTGAACCTCAGAACTTATTCATACGTCCCTTGGGTTTTTATTTTATTTATTTTGATTTTTATTAATTTAAATTTAAAATTAAATAAGATAAAATCAAGGCTTTTCTTACAAGGTTCAAGCCCGCAATATTTTGACCTAATTCAAGCACTATATATTCTCATTGTTTCAGACATGAGAGGCCACGAACTCTTGCGAGAAGAAGCCATTCAAAAATTCCAAGGTTATAAAAAACTAGGGCAAAATGAAACCCTACCTTGCAGCCTTCCTCAAGGCCAAATACCTGTCCAATTCCTCTCCAAAAGAACTATAGGGTAAGATGGAATCTAATGTGATGATCTAAAGGGAACAAAGCCATCATACATGCCTTGTCGGTTTCTTGATATTTTGCAAATTTGAATTCTTGTTTTCATGTCGTTTTAATGTATACTAACTTCACTAACCTGTTTCTGACACATAACCACGCAGGGTATGCCTATAGCGTGACCTCCATGACAATCGAACCATACTTGGCCATGTTTGAATCGCTTCAAACTATATGCTTCGTATCTCTTGCTACATGGAGATTTAACCTAAAATAATGGTTCCATTGAAACTGCAAAGCCCAAATTAGGGGGGTAGGGTACCACTGAGTCATGGATGTTCGCTGTTTTGCAGGAATAAGGAAACGAGCTCACCAGAGAAGACGACCGAAGCTAGGGCTTTGACGCTTCTCCAGTTCAGTGATTTGGATTTATTATATTTTTAATTGTTTTTATTTATGTTACCAGATGTATAGTCACCTCAATGGAAAGCTAGCGCGCGTTAAGGCATTTGTACAATAAGGCATGGGTTCAATCCCTGATTTTGACATTTATTTGTTCAATTTTCCTAGTCCTTGCAGGTTGATTACATATTGAGTGATGCGTATTTTTCTAACACCAACGGACGCTGGGCGCAGTGGTGAACCTTGTTGGTGGGAAGGCTAAGGGTGTGGGTTCAATACCCACCCCTGGCAGTTTTGTTTGGTTTTATTTCTAACTTGTTTTCTTTCCCTTATTTTCTCCCCTTAAACCCTAATTTCACTTAACCACAAAGCTTTTTTACAAACCCTAGTTAGGTTTTAGCTCTTTTAATTAACCTTTTTTAATTAACTGTTTTTCTTAAATAAAATTAATTAGTTTTTCTAGGTTTTAATTAACTTTCTTTTAATTAACTTTCTTTTAATTAACTTTTTAATTAACCTTTTAATTAACCTTTTTTTAATTAAAAGAAATTAGATTCCTAGGTTTAATTCATTAAGAATCTTCAAAAACATGTCTTTTTTCCCTCTATTTTAATTTTATTAGATAAAGTGTATATGGTTCGCAATTTGTAAATAACCTAGATTTCTCGCTTTCTTTTTCATTGTTATGTAATTGCTCCTGGATATAATAGCTTAGGGTTTCTTTTCCGCACTGTTTATTATGTATCTTCCCCAAAGCTATGTAATAGTTTAGGTTTATATCTTTTCCTTTACTTTCTGCACCTTTACTGTTGTCTATATTTGCTACTACTAACTAGGGTTTGTATGGCAAGACTAAAAACAAACGATAGAAAACCCTAACTGCAAAGGTAAAATAACTGAATTGAATATATTTGCACACTCGCACCTCTAAGGTAACCTCCCTTGTTGCCTTTGGAATAAAAACATTCATGTCCCTCGAAAGTGGGGACGCTTTAGCAAAGTACCTCGAATCAAAGATCATAGTCCCTCGATGACCCTTCGACGTTGCCTTTCGATAAATGATCTAGTCCCTTACAAAAATTGCTAAAATGTCCTTGCCAGTTGCCTTCAATGACTTTACAATGACCCTCCGCCTGTCCCTTCATATCCAACAATAGGGCTTCCTACTAACTAATGGTAGCGATAGCACTATCTAAAGGAGAAGGAAAAGGACAAGAACAAACTTGAGTAGTGTAGAACTGTTAATCGCTTGCTCACAAATTTTTCAAACAAAACATTCTACAAAAACACTTTCAAAGATATTTTCAAAACACTTTGTACGCATTCTTGAGGACTGATACAAGAATCGTATCAAAGTTAAAATTTTAAAATATTTTTCAAACACACAAAAAAGTAAATTTTCAAAGTGAGCTAAGCGATTAAGAGCCCGTAGATAACTGCCGATGAAAAGGGTGCTAACACCTTCCCTTTTCATAATCTACCCCCCCCCCCCTCCAAACTCAAAATCTTCAAGGTCTTTTCTGTTCTTTTCACACTTTCCTTATTGGATAAAAGAAAAGTTGGTGGCGACTCTTGTTGTCTGCAATATTTGCGATAAAATGCAAAAACAAGTCAGTTCTCCCACTGTATTACAGAATCGACGACTTCACTGAGGAGTACTTAAAAAAAGAGGGGTTACCTTAGAGTCTTAGATCACTTTTAATTGATTTTACTTATCTGCTTTGTTTGTTTTAAAATTGAGGGCTGCTTGGGTTTAATTTCTTGCAAAGATCCTACACCCAGATCTAGGGTACCCTAGATAAGTAGCAATAGACCATGGAAAATGTACGACATATACCGATATGGTTGAAGTGATGGCTACGTTAGTGTGACACTTTGATTTGTACTGATGTTCCTTGAGCCATTTGAGGATAACATTGGGCTGCCGTGTGATGTCATAAGCACTAACTAACTTTTAGAACCTTAATTGACCCATCTTGGCCATTAGAAGGTAGTGAGATAGCCAGCTTTGGTGCAGTCTAGAGTTGGTTGATACTCGATGCTACACTCATTGAGATTCGACTCACGAGATGTTTTGGTGGCAAATCAGTTGTTGTACTAAAATAAAACCTTCGAGAAAGATCCGTGATATGAGATCCCTAGAACCCGATTATTATTTTAGGACAAGTTGAGCCAACTTAACTTCTATCGAAAGGATACTTACCTACGAACCTCATGCAAGCCTTTAAACCTAAGGCTCTTGGGTGCTTTGTTTGTGTTTGCTATCTATTCAAACATGACATCATGGCATCATAACATCGCATTTTCACTAACCTTTTCAAGGATCTTAGGGACCTGTGATATAGGTTTCTCATGAATCGTACTTCTAACAAGGGGCAAGAGGATTTATTTTCCTCTAACCAGATTCCGTCAAAGACCAAAGCACGTTTTTTCAAGTCAAAAGGCTAGGACCCCCTTGACATGTGAGCTTGATTCTCATAGAAGGACGTTAAAAGGCGTAAAGTTCTTCAGTCAAAGCTGCAACTAGACTCAACTTCTAACATTTCATTTTTGTTTATACCGCGAGATCCTTGAAAACATTTCATATGCATACCATACATATCATCATGACAGGTATTTCCCAAGACATGTTTTTTCATCTTCTTGCTGTTTATTTCAGTAAAAAATGGCTCTCGAACAAACAGTGAAAGAACTTCAAGCTCAAAATACTCAATTCCAACAAATGTTCCTGGACTTAGCCAAGGGACAGGATGAGCTGAAGACCCTCATCACCAGAGAGAGAAAGAAGAAGACTAAGAAGCCAACTATCATTCTTAATATGGGTAGAAGGTTCAAAGGTCTAGTCAAGAGGGCTCTATATTTTGAAGTCCCATCAAATGAAGATGATAACCAAAAGGAAGTTGATAAGAGTGTGAAAGCTGAGGAGAATAACAACCAGGTTTCTGATGAAGAAATAGAATATTCAGATGAAGAA